AATATCTTAATCCTATTCAAAGATCTTTCGTACCTAATGGATGACACTTGTCAGGCCCTATAAACCGATAAGATATTCTCTATCACCTTCCTAGGGTACCATCAGGTGTGACACACCTGATGGTACAAAGCTACCATAATTTCGTGCGGCCCAGTTACACCTCCCCGCCAGAGTGACGTTATTAAAACGTCAATCGAACTTGTGTTCCTAAGCGAGAACAGTGCGCGTACGGTAACCCTTCACGGCAACGTACGCTCTAGCACGATGTCCTTATCACCAAACGAATTGAACACTCTGTGTAACTACCTCGGAATAGAGGAGACAGTTGACTATGGTAGCGATACCCAGTGTCCAGGGTAATACAGGTACAATGTCCGACTCATCGATGCCCAAGGCATAACCTTCGAATACCTTAAGTTCTCGTTCTCTGAACGTGGAGATGCAAGCGCGCCACTGGCGCAGCCTTCAACACCTGGTTCTGATGAAACTATCATCACGAACACTCTCGACGAGCAACAGCAATTGCTAGTCCAACAAGAAGAAAACGCTCAGCGTCATGCACAAATGGGTGCAACCCTTGAGTGCCAGCGTGACTATGTGTTCACTCTACCCTGTGTGGAGGAACGTCTACGTCAAGCGGCCGGCCGAACATTGGTGACGTGGATCATTGGTCATAGGCCTAAGGCTCCTAAGGAGGTGGTGAGCTGCCAGGCACTTCGTGAGAGGTACTTGGAGCCGCACCTAACGACTCAAAGTCAATACAAGACATGCCTTGACATGCAAGCACGTGATGCACCGGTTCCACCGATCAAGTGTATACCCATTCTCTTGTTCGCAGGCGAAACAGTGAGCGAAGAAGACGATGCCTTCGATCGCTGGGTGCACCATATGCGTCGTCTCAGCAATATGTTTGTTCTAAGAGCTAGTGTCAATGTGGCTGATGTGCGTCTCGAACGCAAGCTTCGGTATGATTATGCCAAGCTTAAGGCCAGAGACCAATTGCGCAAGCGCACGCGCTATGCTTCGGCTACTACGGTAGACGCGAGTGCTGGTCAGTCTGTGACCAACAACCCGCCAACCCACTCCACTAGTGGTGGAAACGGCCTCGGTCTCGATATGACCATGACCACGATACTCAAAAGCATCCAAAGCATAAGGGCAGTCTTGCCGAAGGGGTATCTCAAACTTCCATGAGTTTTCAGACTCAGGGTACCCTCGCCACTTTACCGGATACTGGTATTGGCCCTGAGGACGACGTCGTTTCAGTAGTCTTTCGACATGAAACTGACGACACCCATGCTCATCGAGCAAAGTCGGTGGCAGCCGGTGTACCGGTGGAGGCCCACGAGAAATTGGCTCTCGAAGTGAAGGGTCTTCAAGAGACATTGGGTAAGACCCAGTACATGCTGGATGCGATGCAAAGCCGCCTTCAAGCGATGGAGCAAGCTCAAACGCTGGAGCGAGGATCAGTTATACCTGCTGATTCGTCTACAGCAATCAGGGGCAATGCCCTTGTCGTCGGCGCAAGCGCCTCCATGTTCACATGGGAAGGATCCTGTTACGGCTTAAGTAAGCCTACGTAGAGCACTGGATGTGCGCAATTTACGCGGAAGGTTTAGCGTATGTGCAAGTCCCTTCTTGATAGTGACCGTAAAAACGGTCCAATAAAGCGTGGACGCAACTTAGTCTTAAAGACAGCAGACATTACATTTGAAGATAGATTTTTAGCGTTGAGTAATACTTGGTCTCCGACCTCATAACGTTTAATACATTTTCTGCCTTTGGCATCAGCTTGTTGTTTTTAATTATCGTGGCTATCAGCCATTGCGTCACGCACATGTCTGAAGACATTTAACGCGTAGCGAGAAACTCGCCTCCCTGCTTTTGAACAGCAGCAGGGCTGATATCATCAAGCCGATCGGCAACCTCTCCCCCACCAAGCCCTGAATCACGTAGTGATAGCGTTAACGGAACGCGAGGGTGAGTAAGACCGTTTACGTAAAAACGGAGTAAAGCCTGTGGAGGCATGAACAGCGTTGTTCAATGCTAATTCAACAACAGGGAGCATTGAGCTCCAACGCATAGGCGTATCAGCGCAAACACTGCGCAAAATGTCATGGATGACGCGGTTAACACGCTCAGTTGACCGTCAGTCTGCGGATGATCCGCTGTGGACATGTCCAACCGAGTGCCCATCACCTTCAAGATAGACTTCCAAAACTTTCCAGTGGAAGCGGGGTCTCTATCAGAGACAATTGCCACAGGCAAGCCATGTTGGAGAAAGACACGGTAGATAAACAGCTTTGCTGTATCTTCAGCATCAATGCTATCCGGCACAGCCGCTAAGTGAGCCATCTTGCTTAATCGGTCAACAAAGACCACAATACCAGTGTTGCCTTCCAAATTTTTCGGTAGGAAAAAACACAAAATTCATGCTCATGGACTCCCAACAACCAGTGGGTACTGGCAAACTAGCCAGCGGCGCCGCCGCATGTGCTGAGGGTTTAACCCGTTGACACGTTTCGTACGTACGCACATAGGTGCTCACCCACTTAAAAACTTTGGGCCACCAATAACTTTGGCTCACCGAGCTATAAGTTTTCTCACGACCGAGATGACCACTTTAAGCAGTATCATGTGCCTCATAGAGGATTCGGTACTTTAATTCCTCATCATAAGGTACAGTGATACGAGGGTTATCCTCAATGTACGTGCGATAGCACAACAGGCCATTATCGATGGAATATCGATGTAGCCTCGCACGTATACGTGCCGACAATTCTATGTCCGAGTCTTTAAACTTATCGCTCCCAAGAGCACGTAGCAAAGCTACACACTGATCATCCTTGGCTTATTCCGCATGTATTTAGTCAGTGACTGATGACGACCGAGTCGTAACATGAGCAAACTCATAGTCAGGTCGACGCGATAGCGCATCAGCCAAAGCATTTTGCTTACCTGGCTTGTACTTCACCTCGAAGTTATATTTAACAAGCCATTCTCTGTGAGAGATGAGGTGTCGAAATTCGTAATGACGCATGATCTGTATCGATCACAAACGGCTTTGAGCCAAACGGATGTACTCTGAATCTGACAAGAGCGTACTTCACAGCAAGTAGCTCTTTGTCATGAACTGGATAGTTCTTTTCAGCAGTTTTCAGCTGCCAAGACTCGAATGCGATGACGCGTTCGCGCCCATCGACATCTGTTTGTAACAGAGTACTGCCTATGGCGAAGTCAGATGCGTCACAGACGGCACTGAAAGGCCGACCAGAATCGGGCAAAGCCAATATTGGCGCATAAAGGAGACTCTCCTTAACTGCTTCAAAAGCATCATGTTCGGTATTACCCCAATACCAGTCCACATCCTTTTTAAGGAGATTGGACAATGGCCGAGCCATATTTGCGTAATTCGCTCTGTACTTATGTAAGTAATTGGCAAGACCAAGCCACTTACGTAAGTCCTTTTGGTTCTTGGGAACCGGCCAATCAACTATGGCTTTTAACTTAGCGGGATCCGCTCGAAGGCCTCGCTTCCCAATGAAGCACCCTAGAAAGGGAATCTCTTCTACACCAAAGATGTACTTAGATGCGTTAGTATACAACTTATTTGTCCGCATACACTCGAGCACCGCTCGTAAATGATCAATGTGGTTATCCACATCTGATCGCCCATTCATTGCACGACTACGGACAAAAATTTCATCAAAGCACGTTTGTTCATAGCCTCGATGAGGTCTAAACAGTTGCGTTACCAGCTGGTTAAACGTATCCGGGGAGTTAGATAGCCCTTGTGGCATAACGAGCCACTCCCAGAGCATACCGCTCGGAGTACTCACCGCTGTTAGTGGAATATATCTTACTCGCATGAGCAGTTGGTAATAATCATCGACTAAGTCGAGTGCACTGTAAAATGTAATCCTACCATTTTGTTCTGAAGAACACCCTTTCTAGGAGTAGGCGTCTGCGCCGGTATAGTGGCGGCATTAAGCTTATTATAAGCATGTACAATACGCCACTTGTCATTTGGCTTTTTGACACAAAATGTCGGTGTTGAATGGGAACATTTACTCTCACGAAACATTCCAGCCGCCTGCTTAGCACGAAAAAAAAATCGTCAATGACGTCACACTGTTCTTTAGGCAAAGGCCACTGCCGTGTTACGCAGTATTTAGTTCCAGGAACCAAGTCAATTTCACGACGTACACCTCTATCGGGAGGTAAGGCAGAAGGTGGGTTGTGACACACCACATCTTGAAATTCCTTAACTAAAGGATAGAACGGATCCAAAGGATCTTTAAGGATCGAAGATCCACTTCGTGCACCAAGTGCCGCCTTTGTATCCTCTAGGACAGACTCATCCGTTAACGAGGAAGAGTTCAACTCAGTATCAGGTCTAATGACCGCTAATTCGGATAACTCTTCTGCCTTCAAGGCCTGGTTAAACTTGCCATCAGACATTTCGTCTGGCTCACAAAGAGCGTCCAAAGATGGAAGGGTTTCAAGGCAAACAATGCCATCAACCTGACCAGTCACTCCATTAACAAGTGCATATAGTGTATTACTATTATCAATATGTGACTGTGTGGACGCCTGGCGCTTTACAGTTGCTACTCGCCGTCTCGATCGTCTCTTCGAGACCTTACACCCCTTAGGGGTCGGGACGGTTTTGTCCACATGGTTACTACCGACCATAGTACGCTCTATACGAGAGCTTATGTCTTGACCTACATCCGGTGAAGTGTTACATAACTCGAACACTTCGCCAAGTGGATTTAAACGTGCCACTCCACGTGTGTTATGCAGGTCTAGCCCTAAATTTAACAGCGTCTTGCTGACAATGTCATTACCGACATTAGGTGTGGTGCCCTCACGGCCGCCCACACTATACGGCGTATCGCCAACAATAATATTACCGACGTTAAGCGTGGTGCCTTCACGGCCGCCCACACTATATGGCATATCGCCAACAATGTCATTACTGACATTAGGTGTGGTGCCCTCAAGGCCGCCCACACTATACGGCGTATCGCCAACAACGTCATTACCAACGTTAAGTGTGGTGCCTTCACGGCCGTCCACACTAAATGGCATATGGCCAACAATGTCATTGCCGACATGAAGTGCGTTGCTCTCACGGCCGACCGCACTCGGTGTAGTTTCACGTGCCACCATACACACATCAAAGGAATCACATCCTTGATCACTCGGACCTAGGCCAACCATGCTTTCAGCATGCGGTGACTCGTTATCAAAACGAGTAACACTGAACGGAGTACGTGCCGTTTCACTAAATTTAGACGAGCTATGCTCGAAACTTATGTTGGTAACATTGGAGTTCTATAAATCAGACATTCCAATATCCAGCACATTGACATCTTCAGTTAAAGGCTCGCGCCAGTAGTGCTTCTGTTGCCTAGCGATGGTGGGTTCATGACTCTTCAAAAACTTCGCTTGGAACATTGCGCGTACCGCCTAAGGTCTTAGACATCCAATCAGTCCACGGCTCATGGCGTTCAAGCCAAGCCATTCCTAGGATGAGATCACATCTCGAGTCCAAATCTAGGACAAGCCAGCGCTCAATACTGTCAAAGTCTAAAAACTTTATACCTAAGTTCAGTGGAACTTTAGGCACAGTAGCACGACTTCCAGTCGCTAAACGAACTGTGATGGAATCACCCTCCTGCGCTGTAAGCGCCTCTGCATAACGCTGACTTCCCTCAAGGGAACGACGTCGAGCATAATTGCAAGACGCTCCAGAATCGATCACTATCGCCCAAGGCTTATTAAAACCCTTAATTTTCGCCTCGGCGACCAACAAGCCGGACTTGTATCCACGCACCATACCCGTAGGTACGGATCTCCTTGGGGATAAGCTCTGCCTTCTTTTGCCCTCTAAAGGTGTAACAGAACCTAGTTCTCCCCCAGTGGGGCGCCCCGCGTCTACCGGATGTCGGCATTTCCACGTGCCATGCCAGACTTCTGACTCGGGGTCGAGTGTTGGCTTGTAGCCTGGCGTTGCTTACGCAAAGGGCAACCATGCCGCAATTGTTTAGTGCTTCCGCACGTAAAACATCGGCGTACGACGTGTTGCTGCTCAGCAGCTTGAAGCTCAGCTTCATTTTCATCTTCAGCATAGCTGAGATCCATCGGTTCCGGCCTATTATAGGCAGTGGTACCCGAAGAGTTTGCTCTCACAGAGCGAGGTTGTACCCATTCCCACCCAGTCTGGCCGACTTGAAGTTATGCTCAGCATTAAGAGCAATTCTCACAGCCTCTTCAAAGGCAGAGGGGTGAACCCGAAAACCTCGGGTCTGGCAATGCCAGAACTTAGACCTTCCATGAAGATAGTCACATGGACTGCCTCAGGCAGAGGGTCAGACTGCATTGCAGCCATGAGCGATTCGCATCTCTTGGGCATAGTCCGATAGTTCATTCTTACCCTGGCGGGCAGAAGGAAAGCGTGAACGCACGCGGTAAGCCTGGTTAGGTAGTGAGAACACCTGAACCAATTGTGACTTGAGCGAATCCCATGAGGGAAACGCTATGTCCACCGACGTGCTACACGTCAAGGCCCATTCTCTAGCTCTTCCATTGAGCTTCGAGATAGCCAGCGAGACCTGTTGATGGTCAAGCGTGATCAGGCCTGATCTCATGGCCATCTCAATCTCACGGATCCAGAGGATGAGGTTCTCACCCTCCTTACCGGAGTAGTTTTCACTTCCACTCTTAGTGGACGAGGCCTAACCTCTTCGTCTGGTACAGACACATAGCGTGTAGGCATAGCCGACCTTCTTGATCTTTCTGGACCTGTTCTAAAGGGCCGCTTCATACTGCATGAAGCTTTCAACACGTGCATTAAGCACTTCAGGACCTTGTGAAACAAAGGAACTCCCACGCACTCTGTACCTAAAGATGCGGTCAAGCATCAAGCGTGACCGCTGGGCCTCAGGAGGGGAGTGGGTTTTCCATCTCCACAGAGGATCAGTCTTAAAGACTCAGGCATATCACCAGTTTGTCCAGAGCAGACCAAAGAATCCGTCACAAAAGAGCCATGACAAGTGTATGGCGTCGACTGCAGCTTCGAATTGCTGGTACGACACCTGCTCGGCGGTTCCAGGTCCGTCGTTCCTTTTTTCGCGGTTTCAATTCATCCATCGCGTTATAATTGGTCACGAAATTGCTGTTTTTGTGGGGGGTTGTTGATGATGTGTAGGAAGAGGCGGACGTGGGTGTCGCTGCAGTCCTGAGCTGCTTCCGGAGCTTGAAACTTGATGCACGGAACTATGATAAGTACGAGCAGCTCCGATGCTAAAAACAATAGGGAGTTCATATCGAAGTTGTTGTGGTGTTGTTACTGGGTTGGCTGACGCCGTAGGGACAACGAAAAGCTATTTGACCAAGCCGTGGATACCATTGGCACGATGAAGTTCGAGCAGCAAAAGCAGTTTGTGCAAGACGAGGTTGCGAAGCAGGTGTGTGTGAAAAGGATTGGAGTGTCGATATTTGGACTCAGACTTCGTCACATGTCGTCTCGTTGGTGGGCTGTCGATAGGTTCAGACCTGTTTCGAGGCTGTATTGAAGATGCCCAAGGACTCTGAGAATAAAGCGTCTAAGATGTCCCTGTCAGGATTTCAGCGCGATAATGAAGTGGCAGAGAAGGTAAACTGGTTATGTGTATTTGTCATGGATCACAGTTGTTTCTAAGCGAATGCGTGTGATTGCCGGTTAGCTTAAACTTTCTGACAACTTCCAACAAGTCTTCGGATTCACTTTGAATGTGGAAGAGTCTAGTGTTCCAGATGCCGGCCAAGGTGTCAAGTTACTTGGTCATGCGTCCATAGGATCATTAGTGGTACGTTTGCGACTTGCTGCTGATTGTTTTTGACATTGCACTCAATTCTGTGCACGTCGTACTCATGAAGGCACTGTACCCCGGTATCGTCTACTTGCCAGAGCATTACAAAAAGGTGCGGGGGATTGTGTTAAGAACTCTGTCTTGCTCTCGTCGCTCATTTCGTTTATGACAGAAACAATACCTAAGCGAGTTATCGAACAACCCGTACGCTCGTGCTCGCTTTGACAGCGTAATTATTGACGCCAAGAATGAGCGTAAGGGTTTTGTTTGCTGCTGTGCTTATCGCCAAACAAGGAGCTCTTTTGCTAACATAGAGCGTGCCAACACAGCGTCAGTTCCGCGTAATCCGCTTGCGGTTGCTCACAAGATCAATCACCCTCCTAGCGGAACACCCCCCAATGTCATTGGCTTTGGATTTGAATTTCCACCAGAAGGTTTGACGATGAAGAATCGATCGCTAATGAACAATCTTGGCTGAAATTGATGTGATGTTGACCAACTAATCCCTACTTATGTGTTTAACTGTCAGGACCATTTGCTGCGAAGAAATTCGACGAGCTCATTCCAAATAGCTTTGTCAAAGAACCCTCACGCCTTTCCATGTTTGGCAAGCGTGCTATCGTGCATGTATGTTTCAGTAGCCGGGTTGGTGTTCTGCTGGGCATGTATACACTAAGTCTTCATTCTTATCATGCATGACAGGGCCTTGCTTTCATCGCAACGGCAGATATTGCAGACGGAGAAGAGCTGTTTCTCAATTATCGGTGCGTCTTCCGATTGTGGTCAATATGTAGTGCTCAACCCGACTGATCGCTCATCTTGAACGCTCCACCAGCTACAATCCCGATCGTCCGCTTCCTGGATGGTACACAGCTGTCGACGTCGATAGTGATCGCGCAATGTGGAAATAGCCTGCGAGATTACCAGCACCAGTCTTGACGATTCTCAACGACAAGGGGATGTATTAATGTGCTTACGTGCGAGTTTAAAGCGGAATACAGCAACAAAGCGTCTCCACCAGACGGATTACGTCCGAGGAGCCTCGACTGACGAATGCAGCTGAAGCTTACAGCTTGTAGGCTCTTCAACTGTGCTCACTTGGGAAACTCTGCATTGTTGGACAGAATGATGCCGACGATGACGCCAAAAATGCCGAGCGCACTGGCAAAAATCTCCACGATCAAAATTGTCACGTATAGCGCTGCGTTCTGCGCGTCCGCAAGTACGCAGCTGCTACCAGCGATACCGACGGAGACCCTGGATCAAGCAAGTCGTACAAGTTAGAGCATGGTGACATATCGACATCTCTGACACCATCCATGTCACGTCAACAGCTCGTACCCGCTTGCAAGGTTAGTCAAACCAACTGCGAGTCCCGAACCAAAGACAGCATAGCCTGCAAAGTACAACGCCTGTTCATTGATCGGTTCATCTCCGTCATTACGCAATCCAGGCTGGTTCATCTACTCAAAGAGTATGCAGGCAATGTCAGCAAACACGCCCAAAACATGTCCCACCGTTGCCATTTCCACCACGCATCAGCACGCCGCACCTTGCTCTGCAATATAATTGCGATAATGACACCGTAAATTGCCGTCGCTTCACAAAAAATGATGCTCACAAGGTTCTTGGATCGTACACGCGGAGCCTTTACAGCAGCACCCAGGAGACTCGATCCTGTGATGAAGATACCCCTATAGTCCACAGTGTAATACCCCACCCCCGACCATGAATCAGTCTCTCTCTATCTCCGCTTCTTGGCAACACTTGGTAGCAGCTGCTGAGCACGCACCAAGCGGCTCCAACAATGGAAAAGGTCAAGCCAAAGGCTACGCCCATATTACCCCATGCATACGGTGATATGTTACTAAGGACATCACCCCAACCTATTGGAACAGCAAATGGAGGAGCTGGAATTAGAATATCCAGAAAAGGTCGTTCTTGTATAATCCCCTGATCTTTGCGCAGCGACAACTAGGATCCAGAGACTGCCGTTACTGCTACTTGTATATAAAAGATGACAGTCATCTTCCTCTCGCACGTGCCTTGGTTGAACAACTCGTCGGTAGCGGCGCTCATGTGGAGGATCGTGTGTTGTTTGTCAAGGCGCTTTTTGGTACTGGAACAGACACGATGCCAAATAGCAAAAATAGTCACTCGTACTTGAGTGTGAGTGTCAAATGACACGTCTCTGTTACAGCTAAATGTTGATCGAAAGTGGGCGCCGACTCTGATCGAAAGAGCATTCGTCTACACAAAGGAAGTCGCTCGTACACGTGGTCACTTCAAGTCATAGACGGGACAAATGCTTTAGGCGCAACATACGTAGGATGCAGCGGAGCTACACAGCTCCTTAAGTCAGAGGAAGACTGTTTGCTTACGAGCAACTAAGTTCGAAAGAACTAACGACTCTACGAGTCAACAAGCTTTACAGCTTCAGGTCCCTGTTCCAGGTAGCCTAACGATTCAGTGAATCGACAGCACTCAGTGCTCAAGAGTAGCTACCTAAAGGAGGTGTTGCTAACTCTTAGTGATCAGTGATCAACGATCAAGGCGGCTCGCAAGCCACGTGTGTAACGGGGTGAATCGTTACATAACAATTTGTAAGAAATTGTTAATAGAATATAACTATAAGAGTTATATTCTCAGAATATTGTCATAAGGACGAATATTCTGTAACACTTACGAGTAGTTCCTAATTGGTTGATATAGGCCATTATATCAACCAACGAAGACGCGCCACGACAGACGCACGCAATGAGTGGTGAGCAGATAGTTGATTTACACATTTGTATTCAGACACAGTTAGATGAAGATAAATAGTGATATATTGCAGACATTAACTATTGTAAATACAATTCTACTTTTTACTTTAACCAAGTACTCGCTTCTTCTTACCGTTTTCCTCTGCACGTACGAGTGTACGTGAAGTTCCGAGGCACCGCCTGATTCTGTCATCAGAATAAGTAGCTTGTACTGTTACCAGTACAAGCTTCAGGGTGCCCCGTTACACCTGGTAGCACTTCGTAGTCCGTCCAAGGACCACGTTCACATCTAACATGAATATGTTGGATGATGAAGATGACCAAAGCTTCACGCTACGCGTGACGGCTACTCTTATTTGAGCGATGTCGAATGGGATGCGGTTGAACGGATGGGTTCAACCATGGGCATCCATGCTGTTAGCGTCATGCTAGAGGCTCTCAATAGAGATGCCCAACATGCTACTATCACCAAGTTCATTCAAAATGAACTTGAAGCTGAACGCGAGAAAGTAGGCCTTGCTTCACCAACAAGGTTCTCGGCAAGCAGAGTTGTTGAGAGAACAGGGTGCTCAACAGTTTGAACTGTTGAGACAGCATCAGGCTGCTGCTGGCGGTTCGATGCACTCGCGTCGATTCGAGACCTTGAAGATTGACATCTCCAAGTATAGGGGAGTCGAAGAAGACTCCCTCTTGAGATGGTTTGTCGAATTGGATGACGCCATAAGGGCGCGTCGCATCGACGACGGGGATATGCAAGTTGCATTTGCCCAGTCAAATCTGGCAGGACGTGCCAAGACTTGGGATTTGGGACTCAAGCTGCACAACCCATATGCGTTTGGGTCGTTGGAAGACTTCAAGTAGCGGCTCAGACAAACGTTTGAACCGCCTAGAGCTGAGTTCAGAGCTCGAACCGAACTCTTGAAGCTCAAGCAGGGTAAGCGTGATGTGCACGCTTACGCGCAACATATACGACATCTCACGAGTTGTATAAGTTCCAACCCGGTGGATGAACGCACGTTGGTTTCGGTGTTCATGCAGGGTCTTGCAGATGGTCCCGTCAAGACTCACCTGTTCCGACTTGAACTAGATTCACTAGAACAAGCCATTTCCATTGCGGAACAGGAAGACTTCAGTCTGAGACAGGCTCGCGCCAGCTCGACATCATATCGTCAACCGAGACGATATGACAGCGGAGGTCCAGAGCCGATGGAACTCTGTTATGTAGAGAGCGAGAAGGCTCACTCTACAGACTACAAGAAGTTGCAGAAATGCAACAGATGTCAAAAGACAGGACACTACGCTTACGAGTGTAGTGCCCCTCGTCCAGTGTCTCGCAACACTGGGCGTAGTGACCGTCCACCCATGAGAAAGGGGCAGGAACGCGGGTCTGCTGTTGGCGCAAAGACGCAACAACGGGATGGACCGTCAAAAATGGACAGGATCAGTAGGTGCGGAGCACCCTACTGGTCCAGCAACGTCAAGAGAATTTGTAGACCTCTTGATGAAGGTTGCTCCCAACACACAAACGTTGTGCGTTGCTGCTCTAGGTAATGAGATCTCACTCATTACCTTGAAACTCGAAGTGACGAATAAGTTTTCCCTTCGAGCTCTAGTCGATTGTGGGGCGTCCAACAATTTTGTGCGACGCCAATCGCTAGAATATGGTCACTTTAAGTTCAGTGAATGTGACACACCTCCTACGAGGATGACGGTACGTCTTGCGACAGGTGCATCCGTACCGTCATGAAGCGTATAGTGAAGATCCACTATACGCTAGAAGATACCCAATATGACGATGACTTTATCGTATTGGATTTGGATGACAAATTTGATGTCATCCTTGAAATACCGTGGCTCAGAAGGTACGAACCACGGGTAAACTGGCAACATCGAACAGTAACGATGCCTGCCGCTTGTTCGTCAGATGGCCATCTGATGAACGTTTTGGAGCGTCCACAAGCGTGTGGATGTACTACGAGTGAGTGCGATGGCCTCACTTGTGGTACGGTCGTTAGTACGACTGCACAAAACCTTAGTGTACCAAACGGTTACACTTCGGAGCAAAGTTCCGGCGGCTGTGAGGAAAACACAGGCTGCGCCGAAGGTCCACCGCTCGAATAAGTCGAGTGGACCGGGACAAAGATGTATCCCTAGCGGGGAACATCTAGAAGAGAAACAATCGATCGCTCAGGTTAAGCGAAACGATAATCCTAGATCGACCGGAGAGTCTTTCGTAGAGGATCTCGCTGTGGTTGCGCAACCCCAGCTAGAGGAAGTAAAGGGAATAAGTCCCGATATTACAAATACGGCGGAAACAAGTTCCCCGAAACCCGAGGGAATAAGTCCCCGAGAAGCCGAAGGAATAATTCCTTCGAGGCCTGAGGGAATAAGTCCCCAGGAAATGATAGAGACATTGAATGTCATAGTCAATGACGGATCAAGTGTAGGTGCTTATACACTTGACCTGATTGCGCCTCCGAAGTTAACTTCGGAGATCACTCAGTTGCCAACGCTCGAACGTAAAAGGTTCTTGCGTGATCTGCGTAGTGGCAAAGTCAAGCAGATCTGCGTACTCGTCGCTGACGACGAGTGTGTAGCCGACATAAGGTCAGCAACAGTGTTTACTGAGAACGAGAGAGTTCTCAGTAGTTCATCTATGGACGAGAGTGTCCTAGATGAAACGACACGAATTGAGCGATATGACTCCCAATCGTGGGATCGCTCAAGACAAATCCTCTCTATGAAGATTTGGTTGAATTCAAGGATGTATTCCCTGAAACTGTTCCGTGCGAATTACCGAAGGATAAAGGTATTCGACACGAGGTCGAGCTTAAACCAGGCTCGAAGTACTGTGTCATGAAGCAGTGGCCACTGCTTCGTGAATAAGCACTTGCGATCGACAAGTTCTTTGCCGATCGTTTAGCTGCGGGCCATGTGAGGGAATCAACTTCCCCACATAGCTCTCCGACCTTCTGTGTGCGAAAAGCAACAGGAGGGTGGTGGATAGTGCACGCGTTCAACAAATTGAACGCTGCAACGGTACCGGCTCAGACGCCGATACCGAGGAAGGACGTAATCATTAATGGTATGTCAAAGAGTACCATCTTTTCGTCCATGGATTTGATGGATGGCTTCTATCAAATCCTTATGCGAGAACGGGATATACCCTATACCGCAGTTAGCACGCCTAGCGGCATGCTCTGTGAGTGGCTAGTAATGCCACAAGGGCTTAGTAATTCCCCTGCCACGTTCAACAGATGTGTATCACATCTGTTGAGACCAGTACGAGAATTCGCGCCGAGTTATTTCGATGACGTATTCATCCATAGTCGGGCTATGGATGGAAAGTCGGAGGTTGAGGTTCACAGATACCACGTCCGACAGGTTCTTACAATCGTGCGAAAGCATCAATTGTATGCAAACCTCAAGAAGTGTATATTTGCAGCAAGCGAAATACCACTTCTTGGGTGCATCGTTGGTAAGAACGGTGTACGTCCTTATCCCGAAAAGATCAAGGCCATCACCGACTGGCCTGTGCCGGTTGATGTCAAAGGTCTTCGTAAATTCCTTGGGCTAGCGGCGTATTTGCATAAGTATTCACGCAATTACGCCGAGATGACTGTGCACCTCTCTCGTTTGTTGAAAAAGTACGAGAGGTGGTTATGGAACGCTGAATGTCAGCGCTCCTTTGATGGTATCAAGCAGAGTTTGATACAATCCCCAGTACTAGCAATAGTCGATCAGGACAGGCCATTTCATGTGGTCTGTGATGCCAGCGATTTCGCAATCGGCTGTGCATTAATGCAGTACGATCTTGAAGGCGTTGAACGCGTCGTCTGCTATCAGTCGCGTCAGCTGTAACCAGCTGAGCGGAACTATCCAGTGCATGACAAGGAAATCCTTGCCATGAAGTATGCACTCACGAAGTTCAGAGTCTATCTATTGGGAGATAGACCCTTCATTGTTTACACTGACCATGCGTCATTACGCACGGCAGTGAACAGCCCACACCTTTCACAAAGAATGGCGCGGTGGTTGTCATTCTTTGCAGAATACAACTTTACGGTCGAGTACAAACCAGGACGACTCAATGTCGTCGCTGATGCACTCTCACGTCGTCCCGACTTTGAACCAGTCGTGAAACCCAACAGTGAGACAGTCACTGTTGCGGTTATGACGTCCTCAGTCCCATCTACAAAGTTGTATGATGATGTGAGGCGGGCATATGCCCAAGATGGTGAGATTGTGGAGTTGTTAACACATCTCTCACAGCCATCTCGAGAATCGTTGAAACGATTGTCGTCTGCGTATCGATCTGCATCAGATCGATACACTACTCGCAACGGATTACTGTATTATACAGCCGTTTCTGGCGACACACCACGTGTTGTCATTCTAGATGATACTGATCTGCGTTTGCGGATCATGTTCGAGTATCACGATGCTCCTATAGGAGGACATCGTGGCCGGGAGAAAACGTATCTCACGGTGAGTCGAGACTTTTACTGGCCCCGCCAGTATCAGTTTGTGCGAAAGTATGTTCGCGCATGCGAAGTCTGTCAACGAGTGAAGTCAAGTCCTTCACTGCGTGCACCTTTACAGCCTCTACCGGTTCCGGCTGAGTGCTGGGAATCCATCTCAATGGATTTCGTCTTCGGGTTACCCAAAGACGCACGCGGGAATACGGGTATTCTCGTATTTGTTGACAGATTCAGCAAAATGGTACACCTAGTGGCTGTACCAGAGTCAATCACGGCAAGTGGCTGTGCTTGTGTCTTTATTGACACCATCTTCCGACTTCATGGGTTGCCCCGTGAACTCGTATCAGACAGAGATCCACGATTCACTGCTGATTTCTGGCGTTCCGTGTTCGAATCACTCGGAACGCGCTTGAAGATGTCTACATCTGATCATCCAGAGTCCGATGGTCAGACGGAACGTGCCAATCGTGTCCTCGAAGAGATACTTCGAGGATACGTACACTCCTTTAAGAGTTGGAGTGAGTTTTTGCCAATGGTAGAGTTTGCCATTAACAACTCGGTACATGCGTCCACGACACAAACACCGTTTTACGTGAATGGCTTATGCCATCCGCGTGTACCCACCTTACTAGAGTGTAACTCTGGTTTAAGGGGGAGGGACTCGCGCGAGCAAAAACCGATTTGGTTCACGCTCATCACGCTCTGACTAAGAGGTCATTGCGTTTGATGCCGATATCGATAACATCGATATCGAAGAAAATGACGCCAGTGAGAGTGCGGAAGCCCTCCCTGAAGAAAAGGTTGATGTTGCTGCAGTGCGCTCACAGCGCACTGAAGCTAACGAGTCATCAGATGAGTTCATACTGGCTCGTGAAACGGTAGTCCGTTTTGCGTAAGCCTCCATCGCCGAAGCGGTGGATAAGCAAAAGCAAAACGCTGACAAGAATGGAAGGGCAAACACTCTTTTACTTAATAAAGGTGACTTAGTCCTACTGTCTACGGTTAATCTATTAAAGCATGTAGTGACTAACTTGCGTAGCAGTAAACTACTACCCAAGTACATTGGCCCATTTCGTGTATTGCACCGCCTAGGCAATGCATACACGATCGAGTTGCCACGTAAGATGCGAACGCATCCCACGTTTTACGTTGGTCGGCTTAAGCCGTACCATCAGTACGCTGTTTCTTCCGATGAAGAACGCCCTTGCGCTCAAGCATCTCGCAGAGAGCCTTGTGCTCCCGATGGTGGGCATCGACAAGGGTCTGAAGAGCAGTTTACTCATCCCGAGACCGATCAACAATCCCATGAGCTACCCTTAGCTCGTCACGAAGAGATGTCAGAGCTCTCTCGTTCTCAAGCTGAGCAAAGGCAAACTCAGC